CAGAGTAAAAATTAGGGAAAATAAAAATATCTTTGTATTTGGCTTCTATATACATGAAGAAATCCAGAGGATATATATTTTAAAAACTCTACAAAGATATTTAAGAAACTAAAAGTGGCAGTTACCTATTTGTGGGAGAGGGAGAATTTGTTGTTGAGAGAGGGATGGGAATGAGAAGGAGTCTTTTTTACTGTATGCTTTTTCTATGAGTGTGTGTGTATATGTTTTTGGTCCATGTGTATATATGCATATATTACATTATCTGTGCACAAACTAAATCAAAAATAGGAAAGTAAAAACAAAGAAATAAAAACAAATAAAACCAGTGTGTGCTCCCAGCCTCACAGAATATTTGATACTTAGGGACTGCTTGTAAAATGAGCATAAATGCCTATCTTCTCGTCAGAATGGGATCACCAGTAATAAACAGACCTGTCAACTAAGAATGAATTCCAACCTCAGCCTAAAGCAAAGTAGTAGGGAGGGCAGAGAGTTTAGCCCTTGATCTGTGCAATTGGAGGGGTAAGCAGGCCAAGATCCAAAGCTCAGGAGTATAAAGACAAAAACACGTATTGTGGTAACTCTCACAATGAGGTTATGGGACTTTAAAGTTTCCTGTAATGTTCACTAAAGGTCAGAGAGGTTAAACCAGGATAGAAAAAATATTGTTCCACATATCTAAACAAGCACACATGGTATAATAATCCAAGGAATTCCAAGAAGGACAAACTCAAAAGAGATCCACACCTATGTACATCATAAACTGTCAAAAGATAAAGACAAAGAAAGAATCTTGAAAGCATCGAGAGAGGCAACTTACCACATACGAGAAGGAGCCTCAATGAGATTAGCAGCTGATTTCTCATTAAAAACCATGGACAAAAAAAAGCAGATGGGTAGCATATCCAAAGTGATGAAAGAAAAAAGATTGTCAATAATAGCAAAACTATTATTCTAAGCCATCCTTAACAAATGGTTAGAGGAGACAGAAATTTTGTTGTCTTCTGAAATGATCTATTCTATGACTGGACATATATAATTAATTAAAAAATTCATGACATAGCAGAGATTTTAGAGTTCCATGAATATCCATGTACTCTGCCACATTTCCCAGCCTCCCTTGAGAGTCAGGTGGAGACCATTTAATAATTCTGGCCAATATACTGTGAGCAATAGCGATGTGTGTTGCTTCCAGATTGAGCTAGTAAAAACCCACTGCACAACCCTGCAAGTGTCTCTTTTCCCTTGCTGTGGAGGCCTTGGAGGCCAAGTATTTCAAATCACATATCCAGAACACAGAGAAAGGTAGCCCAACACATATCTGATTTTATTTGAGTAACAAAATCCCTGTTGTGTTAAGCCTTGAGATTTGAGGTTGAATTAGCTACCACCAGAATTGTAGTTTGTCCTAACCAGTATAATTATGGAAAGGTGCAAACTAATAATGAATTGGAATTGATTTCTTCTCTTTCAACCATTGATTCCTCAAATATAGAACAACTCTCTTCTCAAATTACAAACCTTCCAATATTTAAAGGCTGTTTCTCCTTAGTTTTCTCTTCCTCTTTAATCTCATTCCTCAATAACTAGCCTACTAGTGGGATACTTTTCTATTTTAATTTAGCCAAACTGATCTCGAGTAAGGTAAATTATCAAAATTCACTGATTCAAAGGTCTAAGACCATATGAATACTTCTCTGACATTCTATGGTCTTTGACATTAGGAGAACAAATTTCCCACCATTGTGGGTGTCTGTTTACACTTTTTCCACAGCCTGCTCAGAACAGGCACCATCATAACCAGATTTCTTCCAATGAACAATACTCGAAGCTCTTTCACAAAGATGGTAGGTGGTAGGGAGGCAGAGGCAATGCCCTACCATCCACAGTCTTGGGTTGCATCTCATTAGGCCTCACTGCAATTACTAAGGTACAGCCTTAGGGCAGCAGCCTCCTCCCCTGGGCTTATAAAAGTAGGCAAATATTTTCATTTCATTCATCATCCTCCCACCTTATGGAGGCAAGACCTGGTTAGTTTAGAAAAATACAAAAGCAGGTAAATGTGAAGTATTTATTTAAGAGATCATTAGTTCCTTTCCCTTATCTTGATGATCAGCCTAATTTTGTTATAACATTATGTTAGTTCCACATTTTGTGTTTCATGGGACACAAGATGTCCAACAACTGCATAAACTCAGAACATAAAGCAGAGCATCAGAGCTACCAAGAGATGAGAGAATAAAATGGCCTGAATTACCAGGATGTAGACTATATGCTTGGAATGAAGCTAGTCTTACTGTCTTTAATTTTTAAAAATCCCTTCAATACTAAGAATGGATTTATAACTTAGAAAATGCTCTGGGTGGAAGATGGATGAGGCTGATTTCATACCCCGAGTGCCTGGTGGGCAGGAGCACTTGAAATGGTTCACAAGGTCGATACAGGTGCCTCCATTCTGGCATGGCTGATTCTGGCACTCATCCACTTCATACTCACAGTTGACACCCTGATATCCTGGGACACACTGCCAGGAGAAGCAAAAGGGACAAGGAATATTGCACCATTATTGGAAATAGACCATGAGAGCAAGTGAGATCTGGAACGTTACTGTGACCCTTTCCCTCCTCCCCATTTAGCTTTTACGTTTCTCTGGAATCATCACTTTCTGCTAATCATCCTGGGCAAGACAACCTGCAGCTTGCTGGCATTTGCCCAGCCCTCTTCCAACTAAAAAGCCCACTTGAAAGGGAAGGCAAGGACTGAATATTCTCGGGGATATTTCAGATATGACCCCTGTGCAAAACTTTAATTCCTCCTGTGTACAGGTTTCCCCATCTTTAAAATATAGATTCCTTTGTATGTGACGAAGACCCCATGACTCAGCTAGCCATATGTGTGGATGGTAGTACAGATAGAGCACTTACTGATCTCCAGGTTTGGGAAATTGCATGTGTGTGTAAGAAACTGGCTGAGACGGGGTAGGGGGGACGACAGACAGGGGGTGCTGGCTGGCTGTGGTAGGTATAGTGGTTGGAAGGATCTCAGGGCTGATCAAGAAAAAAGATACGACTGTGAGGTGGCTTTATTTGGGCAACACTTTGACGGATTTGCACATGAGGGATATCCCTCACAACATGAGGCCTTCCAGAAGGGGCAGGGTTGAGGGGAGGAGAGTGAGCAAACTCTAGGAGAGGAGGGGGGTTAGAGGGTGCTTATGAATCTTGAATCTAGTGATGTCCCCCAGCAGCCCCAGGGCAGGGCATAGGGTCAGAGAGCTCAATGAGCAGCATCAGCCTAGAGTCTTTATGGCCCCAGGGTTTATCCTAGCCTAACTTATCCTATGGCTAGCAGATGTTGGCAGTAGTTTGGCAGGATATGCAAAGCAGGCAGGCTCTAAGTGGCTAAAAGTCTGCTTATTTGGGCTATTTTTAAAACAATCATACGTATAAAAATTTGGGTTTGGTCCTGGCAGGCTTCTGATTTAATGGGCCCCACCTGCTGTAAAGAAATAAACAACCTGGGGGTCAAAACACAGAGGCTATCTTTGGCTCATTTGTATAACAGTAGAGAAGGCAAAGCTTTTCTCAGTGCTGTCTGATGGTCTGAATTGGTATCAAATTAATGTCTCTCGTGTTTTGTTAATATCTCACTCTAACAATTATCAGCCCAGACATTAAGAAGACAATGACATGTCCTTTAAAGACACCTACTTCCTCAAATATACACATGTAACACTTAGCATGGTGCTGTGGGGAACAGGCTGAGCAACATTTTTTGTTCTGAGAGAATTATTAGTTGACTGATCAATGACTGTACACAAAGGTGACATGGGCCAAGGGACACTCCTCAAAGCAGCTTCTCCTATATTAGCAGCTACTCAGGGAAGTGCCAGCGACTGCTGTGCTGCAGAGGCCTGTAAAATGCACTCTGTGGTGACTTTTGGCTCTGAATCCTGGAAGAAAGCCTGAGGGGGTGGGATGGTTCTAGACCTCTATAAAAAATATCTTACCAGGGCCATGCTGACTTACTGCATAGGGAGGCTGAAAGAAACAGTGATTGGTAAACACTATGATGGTGACTGTTAATAGATTTTTACCAGTCACCATCATAGTGTTTACCAATTGCAAACATAAGACCCAAGCTGCTAAATTCAATATCCTAGTGCTTACTAACAGTCGCACAATGTCCTGGGAGGTCTCTGACCTCTGCCCGCTCAGTGTCCTCACCTCACATCTGTATCCACCAATGAAGTCACTGCAGGTGGCCCCGTGCTGGCAGGGGTTGGACGTGCACTCATCGAGCTGCTCCTCACAGTAGCTCCCGGTGTAGCCCAGGGGGCACTGGCAGTGATGCGTGTTGCCAGCACTGATGCAGACACCTGAGTGCTGGCACAAGCGGTCAACGGGCACACCTGGGAAATCCAGGGAGGAAGAACTATCACAGAAGAGGACACAACACCCTCCGGGTTCAGACCAACCAATGAGTGAGCAAATCTTAAGCCAGCTGATTTACATCAAACTTTATTCTTGTCTAGTTCTTCACAACCCTCAGCAGGACACTGTATTGAAAATAAATAAGCCTCGAAAGTGGAATATGTCATAGTTTCATTTCAAATACATCTTTTTTTGGAATCTTTAAGCATGTTCCTCTACTCTTCCTTCTGTCTTGGGCCCTTTCTCCAGAGTCTTGCCTGTCCACTCTAATCCCACAATAACAACACCTGCCCTACATGAAGAGGGCAGGGCTTACCTTTGCGAGAGGCTGCCACCTCACAGGAGACATTGGGCACATCGCAGTAAGCACCAGCCCATCCAGATGGACACAGGCACCGAGACTCTGCTTTTTCCTGAACGCAAGTCCCTTTGTTTTTACATGGAGACCTGCTGCAGAGGTTTACCAGGGTCTGAAACAGAGGCAGAGGTGCACATACATCAAAATCCAAATACTAGAAATGAAGAAAACAAGTTCCATTGTATTACAAGAAATCAAAGGAAAAAACACAAATCAATTATCAAAAAAAAGAGCCCTTATCCAATCCTTAAACTAGATCAAGTGTTCCAAGGTACATCTAATCATTTTTATACACAGTAAGTTCACACTTAACATCATTAATAGAGTCTTGGAAACTACAACTGTAAGCAAAGTCAGTTTCCAAAATGTACAACGAAACCAATTTTACCATAGTTAATTGATATAAATGAGAGTAAAGTTCCTGCAGCATATTTCTGGTCAAAAAAAAATCATCAAACTTTAAAATAAAGACCCAAACCCTTCTAATATTAAATATTGAAATAAATGTGAGCTATACATACATTTATGAAAGATTAATAAAAACAAATCAGAGAATTATTTATCCAATTTTTGGTGAATCAGTGAGTGATAGCAGTCATAGTGGTGGCAGGTTAATTTAAGAAAGAAACGTTTGCAAAGTGAAAATTCTGAGGAGCACCTCCTACCACCACGCAGTTCAAAACCAGTAACAAATATGGTAGGCTACACTGAGCACTTTTTTACCACATTATTTACTGCCGTGTGCATTTGTATGATTATCGTAAACTTTATGAATTTTTATTTTATACTAATTTCTACATTCATTCATTCATTCATTTTCCAACCTGTTTATTCCAGTTCAGGGTTGAGTAGCTGGAGCCTCTCTGGCAGCTCCAGTAGCTCAGGCTAAGGTGGAAACCCATCTCATCACAGGGCATATTCACACCTACACTCACTCAAACCAGGACCATTTAGACACACCAGTTCACCTAATGTGCACGTCTCTGGGATGTGGGAGGAAACTGCACCTGGGGGAACCCACACAAACATGGGGAGAACATGCAAATTCCACACAGACAGTAGCCCCAGTCAGGAAACAATTTTTTTTCTCACGATTATAGCAAAATCATGTCGAACAAAAGGACGTTATTTAAGTCTAATACCCCTTAGCTCTGCTATTTAAAAAGTTCTTATCACAAAAGTTTAAGAATTCAAGGAAATCCAATACACTAAGTTATTCCTAATGCTCTAGACTTAATTGCATCTATATATATGGGCACCCTGTAGGCCTAGAAAGAGAGTTAAAGCTGTCACATAGGTTCATACTTCCTGTGCTAATTCCGTGTGAAAAATCCACATGGGTCTTGAGCAAATCTGTCTGTGGTAAATATGGGCTAAAGGGCTTAAAGGCTGTTAATAAACCTAAAACTGTCAAAGAGCTTACTTCAAAGGGGAGGCAATCAGGCTTATGAAAAATGTGAGGCAAAGAGTATAAGAGGACTAGCACCTTTCATCTTCTTTATTCACATGGAGTGGCTTGGCTCCCTGGAGAGAGGAAGGCCACACTCACTGTAGAGACTATTTGTTGGAGGAAGGGAAGAGTGCTTCACCAGCATGTCCAATCTACACTGTAAGAACAAGTAGGAACCCAAGGAAGAATGCTCTCCTGATCTACAGAATAAGCAACAAGCCACTTCCTATGAGGAGGTGGGGGTTTGCATGTCCAACACAGTCAAAGTCTTATTGAAGTGCACCCTCTAAGTCAAGTTAAATTTTGCCATTTATTCCTACGGTCTTTGGAATTCCATTATTCTATCATTGTTAAAGAAGTGAAATAGCATAAAATTAAACACAACGCTGTTTGGTATACAACCTTGGAAAAGTTACTCTGAGGCTTAGTTACTTCTTCATGAAATGAAAGGTTAGACTAGTTGTCTAGAAGGGCTCCTTCCATCCTAAGAGTCTATGAAAATGTATATTTACATATTTGAATTTAAAAGATATGCACATAGTTTGCTTTTCAGAATGTTACAGGACATAATTATTATTATCCCCTTAGATATTGCATCCACCCTTTAAAATTTTTGACTGTTTTTTCTCTCCTTCAGTGTTTTCTATGTAAAAGATATCTATAAATATGTGCTTACTTCCCACATGTATTTTTCTGCAGTTCTTGGTTAGTCTCTAATAATAATTTTACATGTGCTAATCCATATCATATTGCCGGTGTCACCATTTTAGAATCTACCAACTATTAAGAAGTTACCCAGATTTATCTCAGGGAAACTCCTGAGATCCATAATTTTCTCTTTTAGAAGGGGCTTATTCTGCCTAGAAAGTGAATAGGTGTAATACTCAGCTGCTCTTGGGGAGCTGAATGAATGGGAAGGAAGTTAATTACCTGACAGTTTTTCCCAGTGTAGCCCAAGGGGCAGGTGCAGTGGTAGGTACCCAGGCCATCAACACACGTTCCCTCGTTCAGGCATGGATGAGAGTTACATTCATTGATCTCATGGAGGCAGAAGGGACCCGTGAAACCCACAGGGCACAAGCAAGAGAAGGAGTTAATCCCATCCGCACACGTGCCACCATTGAAACAGGAGCTGAGGAACAAACAGGGAGAGCCACATCAGTTATGCATCTGGTTCCTCAGACCTGCTATTTGGAAAGCAAGATTTTTGGAATCTAAGATGTCACAAAGGCAAATACCCTTGAGTATCCCCAATTCCTATATCCAATAAATTTTACTTTTTCCCAAGCTAGACTGGGTGCCAGAAGCCCTGAGTGCCAACCTTTCTACAACCAAAAGGCTTGGGAGTATTTAAAAGACTGAATTTACTATAAATTTCTAGGGAAAATGAAGTTTTCCAGGTTTTACCCACTCCTTCTATGTTTTTCCATGTATCGTATTTCATTTTATCCCTAAGTCAATTTAATTTATATGAAAAGTGCTAAATAGCTTTTAACTCTAGACTTCTTTATGAAAGAGATATAGAACATATTCATAATATTAATATGATAAAAAGAATGAAACAAATCTCCCCAAAATTATTTAAAAAGTAGTAACAAATCTGCAGAGAAATAGGAATTTTTAGATTCATTGTCAACTAAAATAAACAAAAGACCAAGGGAAGAACAGAATAGAATTAATTGTAGATCTTTCTGTTCCCTAAATAAATGAGGATCCACTCCACTAAGCTTTTCAACCTCTGACTTTTGACCTTCTAACTATAATAACTATGTCTATCAGGAATCGGGAACTGGGCAATAGGAGATGATTGTGGAGTGGGGCCCAAGTGGATGACTCATCCCTGCCCCACAATCCTAGCATTGTGCTCTGAAGTTCCTCCACTTTCTCCCTTTTCCTCTTAAGACGCTGCTGCATTGGTTGCTTACCTCTCGGTGCACTCGTCAATGTTGTTCTCACAGTGGACTCCATCAAATCCCGCCTGGCACTTACAAGTATAACTGTTGACATAGTCAGAGCAGGTCCCTCCATTCTTACAGGGTTCACTCAGACACTCATTCATGTCTGTCTGGCACTTATCCCCAGTGAAGCCCGCAAGGCAGAGGCAGGAGAAAGTATTCACTCCATCCACACAGGAACCTCCATTCTGGCAAGGGTCTAAGCCATCATGCAAGAATAACAGCAGCGTCAATTTTATCTTAGATTCATAAAGGTGAATAACCTGAACTAAGTCACGCTGAGGGCAGCACAAGTCTTGACTTTTTTATACTTGACTTCTTTATGTCTATTTTGCCCTGACTTGTCCATTTATGAAAATGAATTCAGTAACACTTGCTTAAGATTTTTTACCTGTTTAATAAGTGGTATAAACTTCATCTTTATCATCACTTTTATAATTTTAGTCTTGTAAAATTTATGGAGTCATAAAACCTGCATTGGTCCCCCATACATTTTGCAAATCAAACATGTGCCCAAACACACAGAATATCAGAACTATCAATCAATATTTTCAAAAGCTATATGTGACAGTGGAGTGGGCAGAGGAAGACAAAATATATACATTCATTTTGTTCTAGGCATATAACAGAAATTAATCATCTCTCTCACTCTCCCTTTCTCTCTCTCCCCCCCAACCCCCCCTCTCTCATTAACTTTCTCTTTAAATTTAGGTAGCCTCACTCAACAAAGGTTTGGGTTTTTTTTTTATTTTAAATATCACATAGCTTGATCTTAACATACTTCACATTCATAGCAATTAACTGACAAATTTTGAGCTACAATCATGCCATAGCCTTCCACAACACAGATGGCATACAAATCAGAAAAAGAAAAACAGGATGTAGTTACTGCTCTTAAGGACCTTAAAATGTAATTGCAAAGACAGGTCATAAATGTAAAAAGAAAACTAAACACTAGAGGGCAATGTGACTCCTATTTTATTAGAGGGATATTGAATATACTTTATTCAGCTGTTGAACTAATTCCATTCTAAGGCTCATCTGCAGTCTCTGTTAGAGCAACTGTAAATATTATTTTATCCCTTCTTAACCACAGGACACAGATATTATAATTTCCACAGCATCTTTCAGAAAACTTACCATCCACAATTTACTGAATTATTTTAAACTCGCTGTAAATATTGCTGGTACTACTTCATATAGAAAAAAATTTTAAATACTAAATATTTTGACTGATATATCAATTAATATGAGAAAGGAATTCAAATAGTTTGATCCCACTTCTTAAAGTTCTCCATCAACTGTACCTTGGACATTTTTTTTTTTTTACTGTTTGTCACACAGTGTTAAAATTATTTAACTACATGTCTTTCTTCCCTAATAGACTATGAGCTTCATGAAGGCAGGAGCTAGGTTTTATTTATCTTGTCACTGCCAGCACCTAGCATGGTAGCCTTCAAATGATGATCTGAAATCATATATCCTGTGAATTAAGGTGCCATTATTATTAATGAATTGTGCTAACCTCATCTGAAGTTCAATGATTTAATCACCACGCAAGTAACTGAGGACTATCAGCATGCACATGAAGGCTGGGGGAAGAACCACCAGAAATAAGCAGGCAGAATAATCTCCAGAGTTTTCACTGGGCTGAGAATAGCACATGTTCATTCAGTCAGAATGAAGAAACTGTGGCATTGAGTAGAGTCCTAAGAGACTACTATCTTAGTAGTGAGGCATATTAGCCCTATTCTCAAGGCTGTTCTGGACCCACCTAACGTACTTGAAGTAAAGAATCAAGAGGATTAAACTATTTCCAAATAACTGAATTCCTGAGAAAAGATCAAAAGTATTTAAAAGATTTTTTAAAAATTCAGCACGCAATAATATAAAATTTACAATGTCTACATCTAATCAAAAATTACCAGGCAGGCAAAGAAAATACAATTTAATGAGTAGAAACACACAAAGGAATTTCCCATATGGCAGAATAGTTGGTAAGGACAAGAAAACAACTATTGTCGACTATAAAACAACTATACTCCATGTGTTCAAGAGGAAATAAAAGCATGAACATGACAAAGAGAAAGTTGTACGATAGACTCAAATCGAACTTCTAGATATAAAAATATAATATCTGAGGGAAAAACACACTAAATGGGATTAACAGTAAATAAGACACTACAGAGGAAGCAATTATTAATAGCTAACTTGAAAATATATTAAGATATCTTTAAATGATGAAATAATCTAAAATGAAAGACCAAGGAGGAAAAGACACCAAAAAGTGAATCCCAAACAAGAAACATGAAGAACACTACACCAACAGGAATCATAATAAAGTTGCTAAAAATCAGTGGAAAGAGGATTATCTTAAAAGCAGCCACAAGTGAGAAAATGACATATAAAGGAACAAATACAAGAATTACAGCAAATTTCTCCTCAGAAATAATACAAGCTGGAAGACAAGAGGATAGCTTTAAAGTGCTAAAGGGGAAAGTCAACTTAGAATTCTATTCCCTGTGAAAGTGTCTTTGAAAATTAAGGCAAAATGAAAGTATTTCAGACACACAAAAGCAGAAAAAATTCATCACCAGGAGATAAGAACTACATGAAATATTAAAGAAATTTCTTCGGACATAAGAAAAATGATACCTGATAGAAATGCAAATCTACACAAAAAAATGAAGAACAAGAATTATAAATATGTAGGTAACTATAAGGACTTCTAAATTATTTTTCAAATTTCCTGAAAAAAAATAATTCACCATTTAAAACAAAAATAATATATTTGGAGGGTTTCATAAATTGTATAACAAAAGAAAAGCAAACAGGAGGAATATAAATGTAAGTATACTGTTATAAAGCTCTTATACTCTATATGAAGTGGTATAATTGAAGGTAGATTATGATAAATTAAAGTTTCATACTGTAAATCCTACAACCATCACAAAAAAGATACAGCTAATATGCCAGGGAAGAAATAAAATGTAATCATAAAAATACTGAATTATTCCAAAAGATGACAGAAAAAGAGGGAAATGGAAACAAGAAACAGAAAGAACAAAGTTAAAGCAAATAGCTAGATGGCAAATTTTAAACCTAGTCATATAAAAAACTACATTAAATTTAAAGTCCCTAAACACCTCTATTAAAAGACAGATATTGTCATATTGGAGGAAAAAAGCAAGACTCAGTATATATTTTCTACAAGAAACCAATTTTAGAGACACAGGCCAAAAGTAAAAAGATGAAAAGAATATGCACCCTAATGGTAAACAGAATACAGCTAGAGTAGCTATATCAATATCAGGCAAAGCAGACTTCAGAGCAAGGAATATGATAAAATTTTTAAAAAGGCCATTCTGTAATGATAAAGGGGTCATTTCTTCAAAAGGGCACAACAATCTTAAATGTTTATGTACTGAATATCAGAGCTTCAAAATATATTAAACAAATATTAATAGAATTGCTAGAGAAATAGACAAATATACAATCACAGTGGAAGATTTCAATATCCCTCTATGAATAATTGATAGAATAAGCAGACAGAAAATCAGGGAGGATACAGAAGATCTAAATAACACTATTAACTAATTTGAATTAATAACATTTATAGAACATTCTACCAAAACAAACTCAAAATAGACATTCTTCTCTCTCAAAGGGAGAAGAGACAACTACTAATATCAGCAACAAGAGAAGGAAAATTACCACAGATCTTATAGACATTAAAAACACAGTAAGGGAATGTTATGAATTACTCTATGCCAGCCAATAGACACGTCTTACCAAAGCTCAATTAAAAATAGACAGCCTGTATGGCATTATATGTATTAAAGGAATTTATAGTTAAAAACTTTCCCAGAAAGAAAATTCCATGCCTAGATGTTTGGAAGAAATATATATTAATTATGTATGAACTCTTCAGAAAATAGAAGGGAACACTTCCCAATTTGTTCTATGAGGCCAGCACTGCCCTCCTATCAAAACCAGACAATTATGGTACAAGACAAGTGGAGAACAATATCTCTCACGAACACAGATACAAAAATCCTTAACGAAATTTTGGCAAGTCAAATCCAGTAATATATACAAAGGATAATACATGATGACCAAGTGGAATATATCCCAGGAATTTAAGATTAGTTTGACATTTGGAAAATTAATTAACATAATTCACTTATAATAAAAGACCAAAACCAAATTATATTACCATCTCAACAGATGCAGAGAAATCACTTGAAAAAAGAATCAACATTCATTCATTCATTGTACAAAGAAAAAAAATCTCAGTAAACCAGCAGTACAATGGTAAATCTCTCAACTTGGTAAAGGGTGTCTACGAAAACCCAACAGGTAACATGTTACTTAATGGTGAAAGACTACATGCTTTTCTCCCAGGATCAAGAACAGGGCAAGACTGGCTTCTTTCACCTCTGCTAGTCTACATTTTCTGAATGTCTTAGAGAATACAATAATGCAAAATAAAATAAAACAAAGGCACATATTGCTGAAATAACAGGCATAAAGGTTGTCCTTATTTATAGATGACATGATTGTCTCTGTAGAAAATTCTTGGACTCTACACTAATCTACAAGCTAACCTAGGAACCTAGAACTCATAAACTGAGTTTTTTAAAGTTACAAAAAAAATTACACTTGACTTTTAATTCATACTACATGTAAAAATTAACTCAAAATAGATCATATCCCTAAAGGTAACAGCTGAAAGTATAAAACTTTGAGAAAAATTTTAGGAGATAAACGTTGAGTTTAGATTAGGCAAAGGTTTGTTAAACAAGATACATTAAGCATGGATGATAAAAGAAAATCAGTACACTGAATTTCATCAATATTAAAGTCTTCCTCTTCAAAAGATAATCAAAAGACAAGCTATAAATTAGGAGGAAATCATTGTAAAGCAAACATCTAACAAAGAATTGGTATCTACAATATAAAGAACTTTTTCAACTCCATAATGAGAAGACAACCCAAATTTTTCAAATGGGCAAAAGATCTGAAGAGATGTTTCACCAAAGATATGCAGATGGGCAAAGAGCACACAAAAAGACGCTTAACATCATTAGTAAAGAGGTCAATACAAATGAAAATCACAAAGGAATACGTTTATATACCCACTGGAAGAGCTTAAGTTTAAATGACTGATATTATCAAGTGTTCCTGAGCATGTGGTTCAACCAGAGCTTTCATACAATTCTGGTAAAAATAAAAATGGGACAATCACCTTGGGAAACATTTTGGCAATTTCTTAAAAAGTTAAACATACACTTACCACATGATCCACCGATCCCGCTCCTATGTATTTACTTAAGACAAATAAAATCCTACGTCCACAAAAAGACTCTTTCACAGCAGCTTTGTTTTTAATACCCCCAAACTGGGAAAAAAAATCCCAAATGGCCATCAACTAATAAACTGTAGTATACCCGTATAATAGAATACTATGCAACTATAAAATAGAATGAACTATTGATATAAACAACATGGCCAAGTTTGAAATATTATGCTGACTGAAGTCCGAACCTTTCCCCCCTCAAAAAAATTATGCTTATATGATTGCATTTATATAAAATGGCAAAAAATATCATTTAATCTATAGTGACACAAAGTTAACCTATAGTTGTATGAAGCAAGAAAGCAGGAGGGAAGATTAAATTATAAAAGGATAAAGATATTTTTAAATATGTTCATTATCTTGTGTGATAGGTTCAATTGTCATATGTCAAAATTTGTCAAACTGACACTTAAAATACTTGCACTTCATTGCATGTTAATCATACCTCAACAAATTGTTTAAAAAAATGGCTATCCTGGCATTGTTCCCACTTTGTCAATGTTCAAAACTTCATAGAGAAATGAATGCTTAAAAAGGATTCCATTGCCACAAATCCTAAAGATACTATCTTCAAAAGAAACAGTTAAAACACTACTGTTAAATAGTCTCCATAAATGACTACTACAGCTGATGTCAGCATAAGAGGCGGCAGCCTACACCCAGCTCTCTCCTGCTCCCTGTGTGCCCTCCTCTTCCTCCAGGGCTCAGGACCTGCTCCATACTCACTGGCAAGGCAGTCATCGATGTCCTCCTCACAGTCCACACCACTGAAGCCTGGAGGACACTCACACATGTAGCTGCCCTGGGTGTTATGGCAGAGACCATGGTTCATGCAGGGCTTGGAGACACACTCGTCAATGTCAATTGTGCATCGCTGACCTAGAAACACAGGGCAATGAACAACCCAGTCTTTGGAAGCTGATTCCCATAGTAATCTATGCAGGGCCTGAGCTTAGCTGAGGTGGGTGGGGCTACTCCAAGGACATCCTGGTCGGTCTACTTTGGGAAGTTCCATGAAGGCTTCTGTGCCCCTGGGAAGTTATTGCCAAGGGGCTGAAACTTACTGTAGAAAGATAATCACGGTTTGAGACTCTCGGGTTGGAGTCTTCCAGGTGCTAGGGGGCCCCAAAGACATGGACGATGGAAAGGCTTTCTAAGTCATTCCAGTTAGCAGCTCCTGTGCAAAGCCTGTGCTCTTGACAGAGGTGGGCAGGCCCCAGAACACCAGGGCCTCTTATGTCATCTGATGCCCTCACCACTGTGTTCAAAGTTCAGAATGCATGTTCTTGGTATCTCCACCCCCATGTTGTTACCTTGCCAACCAGGAGCACACAAGCAGGTGTAACTCTCAAAATTTGGTGCCTCTTTGCAAACAGCAGCATTCTCACAAGGGTTTGGGGAACAGGGAGCCAATACAGTCTGACAATTCTTGCCTGGAAAGCAAATGACAGTGTTTATGATAAAGAACCAGCCAAGAAAATGAAAAATTCCCCAAATTGTATACCAAGGATGTTCTCAGAATTCAAGTCTAAAGTAGTGGTTAAGAGGCTTTGGAATCTGAGAGACTCATGGTCCTTTCTGTCTTGGCTCTGACATAGCTGTGTGATCTTGGGTAAGTTAATGATCTTACCTTAGCTCCTCATAAATAAAATGGGAATCAGAATAGTATGTAACTCATAAAGAATTTGTGTGCATTAAATGAAAAAATGCACACTAAGTCCTTATTCCCACAGAGCCTGGAGCACCGAGTAAGTGCTCAACCACTGTTGGGCTGCTGTCATCTTCACTGTTACATTGTGAGTGTTTACATGGATTTGGACGCCTGCATCAGTTGAGTGTGATGATTTCTGCATCTCTGTAGCTAAGATTCAGCTACTCAGAAATTCAGCCACACAGATCCACCTGTGTGTGGCAGGGAAGAGGCAAAAGCATGGCCTCTGCTCCTTGCAACCTGCGTTGGCCTATTCCATAAGGGAAAGGGGTTGAAAGAAAGCACTTCAGAGGAGGGAGGCAGGGAAGCAATTCTGACTGTCAGGCAACCTGTCTTCTCACGCCTATACCAATGACACCATCTGCCCACCGATACTTCCTACCTAGTATGCTGGGTATATGCTTAAAGCAAAAACAAACAAAAAATTAAATAAGAATGCTTTTATTAAAAGAGAGATGAGGTTTTCTTTAAAGTCAAGTTACAACTAGCTCAACTTTAAGTTTCAGCCGAAAATTTTGTATTCAGAAAGAAAACAGTTACCACAAAGTTTCCTCAATATAGCCTCCACCAGTTTCCAATGTATCTGATCAGATAGTGGCTCACATGGGCAAGCAATGCTGCTTATCTCTTATTCTGGGCAAACTCCACCAAGCTTAGAAGCCCTAGGCACACTGAGACCTAAAATGTGAATCTGCACAGGCTTTTGATCAGATATAACTTCTCCAGGGTCACACATAGTGAATTCTTTAATTGGGATCTTTCTCTGGAAAAAAAAAATCAACTGCCAGCATATAATCAAATATTCTCAGGTGTCTGAGCAGCATGTGACCAAATAAGTTATTGTCCAGATAATCTGTATACTTCTGAGACACACAGCAAGTAAGCGTAGGATGTGGTTCAACATGGTGACATCTCCTTATATCTCCCCACAGCCATCAATTCTCACTCTTTCTGGCAGTACATCAGATGATCTTCTCACTACCAACGAATGTGATCAGAATTGTCACCATGGAGTGACGTTACTTATACTGCCTTTGTCTGGGGATAGTTAGGAACCTCCTATAACTGATTTTATAAACCAAGCAGGTTAAATGCAGTTTCCCTACATTAAGATTTCTTCCATAAGGGGCGCAAAGGTAACAAGGTAAAATCAAGACCATCAGAAAACACAGTCATGCTTGTGGTCAGTCTGCTACTCTATACAGAGGTTAGAGTCACTATTAACAGCTACTATTAACACCCAAGACTCCAGGGAGGAAATACTCAGCCATGCGCCTGCCTGCATGCTGCAACCTGGTGAAATAGGCAAAGCCATTGTCCATGTTTGTGCTTTGTTCCCCCTGAATGAATAAAATGGAAGAAAAGAAGGTAAACAAGCCACAGAAATCCAATCACAAGATGACAGTAACAAGGCAAGACAAAACAAAGCACAAACATCCTAAGCATAACACAAACACAACACCTGAAAGAAAGAGCACCTGATGTGAAGTCACACTTGTGTCTTCTCCGTGTGCAACAGCCATCCAAGGGGTGACACCACTGAGTGAGTCACAGCGGAACTGAACGTGAGGAGCAGAATGGAAGTTAAGAGGAAAAGCTTTGGATTCAGAGACTTGTGGGTAAATCCTAGATGGACTGCTTACCTATGTGACCAGGAGCAAGTGAGCTCCCTTTGTCTCAGCCTCCTCACGTACAAAATGGCAATGGGAACTTCTACATTGTAGAATTACTGAAGGGTAGATTAAATAACCCAACATATAAAAATCATCTAGTACATGATAAATTATTATAAATGATAGCTTCATTATTGAAACTAAAACTAATAGGGCAAGTCCTGGAAATATAATGGAATAAACCACTAGCTATGTATCAGGTTCCAGCCATATGTAATTAAAAAAAAGAAACTCGAACATTAAAGTACAAAGAAGGCAAATGATTGCCCACCACTTGCACCTGAGGAGGCCACAATGCTTTTTTCAAAGCTCAAGATCCGGTCAGTGAGGTTGAGAAGGAAAACCAGGGAGGGAGTCCTCGGAGCAGCATCGTTGCCCCACAGACCTGGGTGCTGAGACTCAGGTCTTGGCAAGGCATGGCCAAGCATCCCCTCTGGTCCCTGCTGGCACCTGGAGGACCCACCTGTGTATGGCAGCACACAGTGGCAAGTGTAGCCATTTATGTCATCAAGGCAGGTCCCCTGGTTCAGGCACGGATTTGAGGCACATTCATCAATATTCACCTGGCAGTTATAGCCTATAGACAGAAAGGGAAAAGAACAGAAACAGTGAAACTTTCTCATTATCTTGATTTTTAAATACTAACCAATTTGCTTGGTTTTACCTAAAATGAAACACCTGTGAAACTGCATTCATTTCTTCAGGCTGCTGGAACACCAGTTCATTCACTTCAGCCGTAAGTCCATGATGTACAGTTAGTCAATAAATGGCAGCACTCAATGAGTTGAAAGATGAATGGCAGAATAGTCTGTTCTAATGACCAGAAAGCCTAATACTCTTGCAAATACATGTAACTTCTCAATCACGAACAGAGAAGTTCATTAAGGGTGAAAGCCTGTTCCTTGATCTAAACATAAGCCCTTTGCATACAAAGTTTCTGGTCAGGAAAAGGGATAACTTTTTAAATACATTAACCAAAGCCTCTGATTTCTGTCCACTCTTTCATATGTATAGTCTCTACCCAGCTGTTTTCTCCTGGTGCAAGGCATGAAACTTTCTCCCACTAAGAAAGTGAGAAAAGGAATGAAGGATTCGTGCGGACAGGACAATACCTAAATATTGCACACCTTTGCATCTTCAATAGGGCTTCGCATAGAGCCTCACACTATGGCACTGCGCAGAAGAAAACAATGATCTAGGAGTACAGAGGTCTGGGTTCAAGGTGTACTCTGCTCCTCAATGGGTTCAAGATGTACCCTGCACATGACTTTGGATTTTACTTGCTGATTTTTATTTTGCTCACTGATTAAGTAAGTCTCAATACGATAAAGAAATAAAAGTGCTTTTAAATTAATGAGTTTCTTTGGAAAAGTAATGCAATATATCAGAAAATTAAAGACTCGAATATGGTCTCAGAAAATTTTCAAGTAATCAAATAAATTGGCTCTAGAACATATTGATGTATCACAATAGCCTGGCACAATGTTTGAGTACGGAATCAATGAATAAGTGCACAGATGAGTACAAATATTAATATAAATGATTTAGCCATTTGTGTCTCTCTGGTGAGTATCCAAGAAAAAATGCAGAAATACAACAGTAGTAACTCAACTAAGCATCTAAGAATATTTCAATGTGTAAAAGAGTTTGTTGAAAGGGTTCTGATCACACAGATTCATCCATGATATTATTGCTACCATAATTACAGTAAGCACAATATTTTCATATATCTATTTAATTTAAATAGATAATTTAAATTATTAATTAAATAATTCCATGGTAATTTACCATGGAATTAAACCTGGTCCAGGAAGCACACAATTAGACACTTGTCCAAAGCTGTATAAGTGGAGTCTTAAACTGCTCATCTTAAATATTACTGCTTCAAAGCTCACCTCAGTGCTAGCTTGAAGGTAGAAATTATATTTATTCATGGTTTTATTCCCCAAGTGTCTTATAAGTAATAACTGATCAATATGTTTACTAAATGAATCAATGAGAATAAAGAAAAAAAGGAGTCAAGCAGTATGCAACAAGACAAAGAGCAGACAGAGAAAGAGGCACTTTTATTTTCACCTTTAAAGCCCTTCTTGCAAGTACACCTGTATCCATTCACCAGATTGTCACAAATTCCTCCATTCTGGCATGGGTTAGAAAGACATTCATCTTTGTCCACTTCACAGTTGATGCCAATCCAGCCTGCATCACAGAGGCACTTATATCTGAAAGAAGACAGAACCTTTTGCTGTGGGAGGTGCAAATGTACAACTGAGTCACAGAGAGAAATACAGAACTTGATTAAGAATTAGGGGATAGAGGAACTGATAAGGTAAACTAACCTCATTTCTACTTTTCTCTGGACCTGTACTTGTATCACGTTACACATGATATGAATCATGTGGACCACTAGGCATCTAGGAAAGACACCTACATGGTGCTTCCCTGGCTCACCAAGAAGCTAGTGAAATTAATTAACTGTAATGAAATGTCACATGTAAACAATGATTTGTACAATATATTGAAACAATCTGAAAGAAACATTTAAGTAGATAAATCTGCACAATGCATTTTATTACACATAAAACTAAAGTAAAACAAATCTTAGAATCACTTGTTTCTGGTGCAAAATAGACACCTAGGAAATAGGTCACCACCAGGGACTAAGCCACTCTGATGCAATGCTGGGATGTCTTACATCTAAGTCATGTTTTATTCTGACCTGAAACCTGGCCTCAGAAAGCACCTAGCAGGAAAATGTACAAGAATGAAGGAATCTGAAATATATAATCTCCAATTTGAAGATCATTAGCACTTAAATTGTAATGTCAGCAAATAATAGCCTCCCTCTCCGGAGATCTTTAAGAAAAAAGTAGATGAATAAGGGTGCTTTGAAACCTGCTTTACTCTAAAACAGGAATACTGAGTTAATTCATTTTGAAATAACCTTATTTCCCACTTACCTCTAAAAATACTGTTTATTGTTTTACCTGTTGGAAGTTTGGCAAATGGCAAGGCCCAAAGCCCTGTCCTATGGCAAGCATAGCAAGAGTATAAGATCATCTTATAGGACCTAAAGTCACACTCCATAATTCTAGAATACTGCCAACACTTCACATGATCCTAAGAGGCTTGCCAAGTGCATATGTTTTACCAGGGCCACGAATAAAGTTGTCTGAAGCAACTCTACTTCAGAGCATTCACTGGTTCTGTGAGGGAACAGAGCTGAGCTATGTTTAAGCAGAGGGGAAAAAAAATCAAATGCTAGAACATTCCTCAGAAATCAGTCCTATAGTAAGTACTGAAAGCACAATCACTAAAGCCTCATAAAATAAACTTGGGTTCTTCCCATGAGGTCCTTGCTGATGACCTGTATAAAGGAGGCATTCCTCTTCATTTTCCACCTAGGTCCTCAGTCATGGAAAGTTGGGGCCGGCTTCCAAGGATGAAGTGGTGATTCAGAAGGCTTTTTTTTTTTTTGAGACAGAGTCTCACTGTGTTGCCCGGGCTAGAGTGCCATGGCGTCATCCTAGCTCACAGCAACCTCAAACTCCTGGGCTCAAGCGATCCTACTGCCTCAGCCTCCCGAGTAGCTGGGACTACAGGCATGCGCCACCATGCCCGGCTAATTTTTTCTATATATTTTTAGTTGTTGAATTAATTTCTTTCTATTTTTAGTAGAGACGGGGTCTTGCTCTTGCTCAGGCTGGTTTCGAACTCCTGAGCCCAAACAATCTGCCCGCCTTGGCCTCCCAGAGAGCTAGGATTATAAGCATGAGCCACCGCGCCCAGCCGATTCAGAAGGCTTTGATGCAGACTATCAAAATCTTCAGTCAAGTCTCAGGTCATTTCCCCAACTGACTTCTTCAAGCTACTGCCTATACTAAAAACCACTGTCTTGACACAGGTCAATAAGAAACCATTCACATGTGGCAGCTGCTCACCCACTAAGGCCTCCGGTACAGTTTCCGTGGATGCAGGGATTGCTCAGGCACTCGTTCACCTGTGAGTAGCAGCTGGGGTGATGGGGCCCCTCAGGGCACATACAGCGAAAACCATTCACATCGTTGATACATGTGGCACCCTTGCGACAGGGATTAGAGACACACTCATCAATGTCAATGTTACATCTCTGCCCTGTAGAGAAGGAGGACAGTGTTATTCACATTCCAAATGCTTAGGGAATAGACCCAGAACTAGGAGATTATTGTGTTGACACTCTTCATCTGCATAGGCCTTGAGGTGCTTTGGGGCACCAAATGTCAAGATTTAAGGAAGAGATGCCCAATAGTACTTAATGCCAACCAAAGAAGGAGCACTGACTTTTGTTACTGAAGCAAAGTTAACGAAAGGCTCGAACGGTGCTGAAGCATTTTCATATGAATTTCTTTGTCCTTCCCTCCTGGAAATGGGGAAATTTCACAAGGTTTTAAAAAGGAATGTGAAATGTTACCAAAGACAGCTTCTCCTCTTATTGCTGTCCTGAGTATATTCAAAGAAGCTTTCCTTAACATCCTATCTGCTGACAAAATTCATTTTTTTCAGCTAGCCTCTTATATTTCTAGTCAAACTGAAATTAATTGGAATGTTTAATGAATGAATTATTAATTTAATGATTAAACTGATTATAAAGAAAAGCTATTTTGTTTTCGTTTTTAGAGTTGTATTAATCCATTTTTTTAATCTCAGGATACAGAGTCCCTAAGCATAATTTTATTGTCGTTCGATGACAGGGAAAACAATTCAAGGTCTCCCAGCCTAGACATGTGGTTCTCAAACTCTAATTAATGTAGAATACCTGCTTAAAGTACTGATTTTAAATGCCGATTTCTAGGCCCCATCCCTATAGACTGTGATGGGTAGAGTCCAGCAAAACACATTTTTTTTTTAAATATAGGGGGTACAAACAATACATTTTGATAAATTCTCTTCTAGACAATTATTACTTACCATCATCTAACAGTATAAATGCTGAGAGTGTATGAAATTGAAGTAAATATATGTCTTCCTCTAAGACATACACAAGATTGTACTTTGAAAAGATGTCTGCTCTAACAATATTTATTGCATCAGGCTAAATAAAGTAACATAGGACAGTTATATAAGTGTTTTGACTTGTTATGTTTCAAATAACTGAGATTTAACTACATATTCCAAAATGATATGAAATTTTAAAATTACCCATAATTACATAAATGAATAGCATCAAGCAACTGCTACTAAGGAATTTATAAATTTCAAAGAATACAATGTTCTGATTCAGATTAAAAAGCAGCCATTTTTTTCATTTAAGAAATAGCAACCCTGCATTTAGAACAGGATATTCCCAGTGAAACAGATACCCACCCATATAAAGTATGAGTATTAACCTTTTTCACCCTCCATTGCTCTCTAAGCCATAATTGGTGGTTCTTGTGGTAAAGACCCATAATCTGGAAGTGGTTGCTGTTTTCCTCTTAATTGTTTCATTAATAACTTATTTTGAAATACTATTTCCCTTGGCCTTGACCACTGATTCTTTGAGATGTTTGTCACTGGCACCAAGATATGAAACAGAGCTCTTCACCCAGAGCCAGTCTCAGCCTGCAATGCAGCAGAGGATAAGGAAAAGCCTTTTTCACTTTTGGTCTTTTTTGGAAACATCTCCTTGGAAGCTGCTCCTCCCAAGATTACTTCATTTTCTTTTAAATTCTTTGCAGAGTACATTTTCAAGCCATCTTTTTCTATGAGTGTTAAGTGCCTCCTTGTGCAGTCTACTGTGTTGATTGACAGATGCTCCACCAGCCAGGTTCACCCTCAAGGAGTTTCCACTGGGCATCAGAAATACCCTCTGCAAGGCCATGCACTCTTGTTGGACTCAGTAACTACTGAAATGAGAAGTTACCCAATGTTTCTTACTCCCTAGGTAGTCAATAAATTGGCGTTTAACAAATGAAGGTGTGGTATAGTCCACACTATAGTGTCTGGAGCTGGATAGCAAAAGTGCTGTATTGGAGTTCCATTCATTCACTCATTCAGCAACATATACCAGTGTCTCCTCTACGCTAGACACTGCTTTAGACACTTGCTATAATGATGATTAAAGGAGGTCTCTGCCTTCTGGGAATTCACAGTCCTTACTGTGTGACTCATTAACTAAACACGGGCATATATGAAGTTCCGCCTCTCAGTTGCCTTGTTAAATGATAGTAGTAGAACTTCCTTTCTGGACTGTTATGAGAATTCAGGAAGATAGTGAATATGAAGGTGCTTTATAAACCTGAAAAGTAGTTTATAGGAATATCACATAATTTCTTAGTTTCCCCCATTCAAAGAGGTCTTGGAAAACAGAGAACTTAAGTCTTAAAACCAAAAAACTCTCCCTAAAATCTGTCAAAGTTGTTTAAAATGGTAAATGAAAAAAGTATTAAAATAAAACAAGGGAAAGAATAAGATTCCTCACATTTACCACTCATGAGTAAGTATACCACAGTAGTCTGTAATATTTTCTGCAGGTCATTAAAAAAAAACATCTCAGACATAGCAAACAGTTTCAAGGACAGGGTACCACCTAGTAACCAAAACATTCCATTTCTTGGTTATGGAGTTTCATGCTACACCTCAAGTTTATTTTAGAATATTTTTAGCCTATGTCCTCCCTTCTTGACCTTCCTGGTTTTCTGACTCTTAAAAAGAGAAAGAATATGTTTCACCAGTATGTCAAAAAGGAAAAAAGAGTCCAGTAGAAGATTTGTATAAATCCAAAAAGACATTATGACAGGAACCTGCTCAGGTTGCCCAGTGTCGTGGGAATGAGCATGGCTCTGGGGTCAGGCTGTCTGGGGTAGAATCCTGGCTGCAGTGCACTGGTAACATTATCAACCTCTCTGAGCTCTGCGTTTCTCATCAGCATCATAGGAACAATAATGGTAATGACAAGTAAGTGACATTTTGCACTTAATTTAGTGCCCAGTTCAAAATAAGTCCTTAGTAAAGGTTAGCTATTCTCTTTATATCACCCATTGAACAACAATGCCCCTATTATCCCATCTAACAGGGATTTTTGTGTGTGTTCACTTAATTCCCACTTGATCTTGGGGTAACAAGCTTCAGGACACAGAAGTACATCAGGCTACCATGGCAGGGCTGGGCTGGCATGAAAGTTTTCATCACACCTGGCTTCTCAGTGATTGTGCACTGAGCAGGGATCCCTGTGGCCCATTTGGGCCACAAACTTTCTTAAGTGTCCACAATCATGCTAAGCAGGAGAAATGCTTGTGAAATAGAGACCAAAGGACATTCCTGGCAAGTGAATGACAGATACTCACTTTGCTTGACTCTGGCTGCCTTTTGCAGGCTCTGTCAAAAGCTGCAAAAGCTGTTTCTCAAACAGAGTACAAATGAGTGTATGGAAAGTATCAAAAGGCAAAATTATAGTGGCTGCTTGTTTGTGGCAATGTCCAGAAAGAACAGAATGCACAGTGTGTGCCCCATGATGGTGCCAACAACAAACTTAAGTGTGTCACTGAGGGGCTCCACGTCTCCACAGTAGTAGCCTCCAGTACTTTTGATGAGGAAGGTAAAAGGTAAAGGTAATCTAAACAAGTACAGAGAGGAAAGAGGTGGGTATGTGTGTGCAAACACGTATGTGTGTATGTGTAAGTGGCCTAGCTGTCTATGCTTTAAGAAGAGTAATATTCAAAATTATTTACTTTCTTCCTCCTGGACAGAATTATCTTACTTATGCCACCGAAATTAGGGGGAGGGTTCCCCAAATTCTGACTTCATCCAACAATCTCCTAGAAGAGGAAGTACCCAGAAACAAGCAGTTAGTGTTTTCATAGAACTGTACCTTAAGTATGGCTTTACAGAATGCATTGAGTACTACCTATAGAGGAATACAGTTGGCTTTGGAAGCCATATAATGCAAGTAAAAAAATGGAAACTTATGGTCCTTCTAGGAATTCTTTTTAGGTAACAATAAACACATGATTTAAAAATCCTAATTAATGAAAGGTATACTGTTTCAGTTTAGGAAAGGCATGTAAGAGGAAAACTGGTTCAAAGCATCAGAGAAACCCACTTCTAACCTTCTAGAGAGACATAGAAATGGGAGACATTTGAAAAATAACTTTCCTTTTGGTGCCATTTTCTTAAAGTGATAGGCTGAAGGAGGGGCTTTCTAATAAAAGGAGCATACCTGTGAATCCCGGTGAGCAGACACAAGTGTAACGATTAATGCCATCCATACAGACACCGTGGACACAAGGGCTACTTGCACAGTCATCAAAATTAATTTCACAATTAACCCCTACAGAGAAAACCAAAGAGAAACCATTGAGCGTTACCACAAAAATACCACGGCTTTCTGCCTGTGATGCTATGAGTTAAGAAATCTAAGAAGAATCTAGCCAACCTCGGACAGGATAAAGCAGCAGTTTTCAAAGTACAGCCCAGAGACTTGTTCAGGGGTATCCTGAGGTCCAGAGGATTTCATCAGTCATACTTAGCCATCATTTGCCTTTTTCACCGTGTTGACATTCATAGTGATGGTGTACAGGCAAACGGGGCAAAGCTGGTGGCATCATGGCACAAATCAGGGCAGTGGCACCAAACTGTACCAGCAGTCATTCTCTTCCCCACTTCCACGTGCCCACAGTAAAAGAAGCAAGCGAAAACACCAGGTTCATTTAAAGGATGGCTTTGACAAAGAAGTTAAAATGATTAGCTTTAAAATTTTATTCAGTCTCAAACCCTGTGTACTCTCCCATGTGGTGAAATGGGAAGTGCGTAAAGCACCTCTGTAGCATGCCAAGTACAAGAACTCTCTCCAGGAAAAGCAGTCGTGGGACTGCGGGTGTTGTGAGCTGAAATAGCTGCTTTCTTCATGGAACCTCATTTTAAATCAAGAAACAACTGACACACAAACCAGGGTTATTCAGAATTAGATTTATAGCAAGTATTAAGAGAAAGGAGTAAACTTGCGAGTTCAAAGAAAACAAATAACAGAATTTTATGCCAAAGGTAAAATTTGAACTTTCAAATAAAAATTAGAATTTTCAAACTTCTATCCACCATTGTAAGTTTGACACTGACCATCAGTGTTACGTGCTAAAGTTCAGGATAAATCTTAATGGACTTGGGTAACTTCCTCCTGACGTATGGTGCCTTATTCCAGGTCTATTCTGCAGACGACTGGAAGGGTTTGGCTACGTTGACACAAGTTTAGATTTGAATATGGATAACTAAATAGTAGGGATATATCAATAATTACTGTTAGTTTGTAAAAATACTCATGTTATTTCACTATTTTTTATGAATTTAGTGGTGCGCTTTCTGGGAATCACAGGAGAATACTTTGGCAGTTTAAAATGCCTAAAAATAAAAACTGGTAATAAGAATATAAAAAACAAACAAACAAAAAAGAATATAAAAAACATTCAGGACAAAATGCCATACTTATGATTCACTCACACTTTGTACTAATGTTTACTGATGATAATTACAAAGGGAACAGGCTGAGTTACACCCATTTTACATGTGACTTGTGCAGGGCCACACGGTCAGAGCAGGACAGCTAGGATCCAAACCCTGTCTCTCTGGCTCCACGGCTCTCTACTCTTTCCACAATGCCGTGCCGTTTTTCTGTGACTAATGGGGCTGCACCACCTCACTGACCAAGATGAGGAAAGGATTTCCACATTCCTTGCAGACCAGTGGGTATCCGCAGATGTTTCTAGCCCTTGACTAATAACCCCCCTTCACACTCAGTCCATGAAGGCAGCACCCCACCATAAAGCCCTGGTGATCCACTGTGACCCCAGACCCCTGTCCATGGTTTATTTGAGCAGGAACAGACATCTGGATCAAGCTGGGCCAACAACATTCTCTCCCTGCAAGGTTGAAATGTGGACCCTGTCCTCTGCTCTGCAAACCGCCCTGCTTCCTGCTAGTCTCTCCAAATCCTCATTATTCAATTCTTGCTTGGAATCTGTAAGAGGCTTCTGTGTGCTTTCACTACATTTGTTCTGTTTCTTGGTTTTGTTATTCTTTACTCGTTTGTAAATGATTCTTAAGTTAGCTCAGGTTGGTCTCTGTTACTTGAAAACCAAAGAAACTTACTTAAAACAGTTTTTATCACCATAAAAGCTCAGATGAGAGAAGGCAGATGAAAGTGACTCTAGGTAGTACACCTCACTTCAAGTACCCAGTGAGTGAACACCACAATTTTAAGGAGCAAATTGCAAAGTATCCTTTCCATCCACACCCCTATCCAAACACCAAACTACCAACTTAGACAATTTTGTAAATGGATCAGGGATTCTTACTGTAGAACTTGAGAGTCTACCCATAATACCTTACTTAACAGACTTTCCACCCAAGTCCCTGGTACATGCCAGCTCTTTCTCCAACCATTAAGGGATTCTTACTGTAGAACTTGAGAGTCTACCCATAATACCTTACTTAACAGACTTTCCACCCAAGTCCCTGGTACATGCCAGCTCTTTCTCCAACCATTACAGACCTATATTTCTTCATGTTGCCTGCATCTCTTTGCTTTAAGTCTCCAAACAGCTGCAGGAATGGATGTGGCAGGTTCTGAGAGATTCTGGGTCTTCCTTTCCTCACCCTGCCTGCAGACAACTCACACTGACTTCTTGCCTTCTCAGTGACAGCTACATACACCATGCCTCTGTGTTCTCCCCAGAAAACACACCTGATACAACCTGGCACGAGGATATAATCCCAGAGAAAACAACCTGCTTGCCAACCCACCCCTCACCCAGGTTTCCAGTATGTTTGTTATGATGGGAATGATAGCAAAGCCTTAAACAGTCCCTCCATTCTAAAGGCAGCCATTCAATTGCTTGTAAATCTCTCAAATTTCTTTTCGTACTGCAATTTCTCATGTCTGGGGACCAGCCCGGAAGCAAATTGCTTTTGAAAGTTTTCACAAAGATCTATTCAGCCCTTTTAGTGAGTTATCTAAACGTGGGGAGTCGAAGGCATTTTCATTTGTGACGGCATGAGATGTTTTTTGTATGCTTGAGCAATTCAAAAAGGACTTTGTTTTCAAACTTGGCATGTGTGAGGCCCTGGATAAAGACCAGGGCCTTTGACAAGTTTGAAGAAATAGATTTGGAAATAACAAAATAAAATGAGGGCAACTAACTACTTTTTTACCTCTGCCCCCTACATAGGTCATTTTCTTCAAGTCCAGAACGAGTTCTTAAAAAATCACTCCCTTATATTGGCAGGTTCCCTTCGAACAAAGGCACATAGTGGTTAATCTTCCACTAATGTATTTTCCTTTGATCTGGGACATAGTACTTCTCTGTCCATTAACTACAGTTGTGACCATAACCATTCATCTAATAAGTAAAACAGAATCCAGTGAAACCTGTGAGATGCTGCAGCCTGAGAAAATAGTTCAAAATTCACCCCCGACCCACAAGGAACAGGTGCCCTCACAACTAACAAGCAGAAGCAGTCATTCAACCAGGGTCAGGAACAGCAATGAACTCTGAGGATGGGAAATGGCAGTCCCACTTTCCAACTGCTGTGATGTGCTGCAAGTACCTTCTCTCCCTTAGAATCCCCCAAGATGCCTAAGGCCCCACCAGGGAGAGGGGCAGAAGAAAAGTGTCTCATTAAGGAGACTGGACTGTGAAAGAGAAAAGAGAGGAAAGAGAGGGAAGATAGGGAAGAGAGGAAAGAGGGAAGGAAGAAAGGGAAGAAGGGAGGAAGGGAGGGAGGGAAAGACTTCATCGATCTGGGTGGGGGTGGGGGATTAAAGAAAAACTAAAATCAAATCAAGCCACAAAACTAAGAGGGTTTTCAATTTTAAACAATAATTTTAATTTTTGAAGTGGTGTGCCTCCGTTTAACAAAAAACACATACACATAAAATCATCAGCTTTATAAAATTCTCCACTGGCTAGGGCCATCGTCTTTGAGATATTTATGTGTGTGGCTTTGGCTGTGCTTCTCGGAATCAGGACTATTCTTTACGTATCTGAGCATATGCCAACAGTCTGAGACATCTGTGTAAATTGTTTTTGAGAAACAGTGAAGACCCCAACCAAACATAAACAGAGTGGGCTTACCTGACGTGCCCGCCTGGCAGTTGCACTGGTAGCCATTCACCAGGTCGATGCAGCGACCATCGTTCAGGCAAGGGCTGCTGTAACATTCATCAATCTGGTCACTGCAGATGGCACCCATGTACCCGGGATTGCAGATGCAGGTGTAGGAATCAATACCATCCTGGCACTGGCCATGGTGGCAAGGATCGGGGTCACAGTTGTCGATGTTCTCCTCACACAGCACACCGGTGAAACCTTTGGAAGGAATTTTACCAAGGAGTCTCAAAAACCAAGGCAAATGCTCCACACCTGAACACAAGTGTAGCTATATATTATTTTTACCCCATACATCCCAAGAATGGTCAATTAAAACTGCTGGCGTTGAGCAATAGAAATTGACTATGTGCACTGATTTAGGAAGCATGTCTAGAGAGTCGTGCTTAAAATACAGACTTCCAAATCAAATTTTAGAACTGACATACCTTTATGACTGACCACTGGTTTCGCTGCAAAGAAGCTTTAACTACATCTTAATTTCTTATTGGGCTTCAGGTTGTAATAGCTCAAAACATTGTTACTTTATATATTTATCTCTGTATTCTTTTTCTCCCAAGCCCAACATACAGCTTAATTGTTTCATGTATCTTATCTTCCCATTTCTGACTCTGGGGGGGCAGAGAATTTTTTTATTTCTCTCAACCCCTCCCTAGAGTACTACGTATATATACTGGTTTTAATAAATACTTGTTGAATAAAATGAATGAAGCAATTATGAGCATTTAAAAGTAAAACAGACAAATAAGAGTTTCTGTATTCCAGGCTTAAATAGACCAACATCACACCTCTCCCTAAAAGGCTCCATTTGGCCTCTCCTCCCTTTCAAACATGAGTTCAAGGTTTTAATCTCCAGTGAAGCTTATCCTCCACAAAAAGAATTTGGCCAGGCAAAGACAAAACCTGCAACTTCTCCAAGAAGAGACAACTATTTGTAAAAAGAGAAAGAAGTTAAATGGATCTTCTTAACTTAGTAGGTCTACTATTAGAGACATTAACTTTTTGTACTGATTTTTGTGACTAAATTTGCCTTTCTGTGATTAGAAAGAAATCATACACATAATGCCTACAATCCTTTAATAATCAATTCTCTAAAATATAATAGTGTCTTGAATTATATTGATAACTTCTTTCTCAACCAATCAGATAACAAAGAAGTTAACCTCTTCTAATAATTTCTAGTCCTTTTCTATAATACTGGCCTGTGTAGAAGCAAATATGTAACAAGGAATGCTTGGTTTATTGAAATCCACTCCCAAGTGAGAAATATAAGTGCACACCCAAAAATGTGGAATATTTGTGAACAGATCCTTTTGACTCTAGTAGAAGTCAGCAAAGAGGACCCAAACTTTTCCAATTAGAGCTCTCACATGTGCGCGTGCTCGCTCGCTCGCTCGCGCTCTCTCTCTCTCTCTCCCCCCAAACCCCCCACCATTTACGCACCTGACTCTGAATAGCATTAGGTGCCTTTTACGCAAAAAAAAAATCTCTACACTTGTTCACATTCAGCCCTTAGATTTCTAGGCCTTTTTTCAGTCATTTGGCTCAAGAAATAAAGAGACAGGCCTCCTACTGAGAAGCCCTGGTGAAAAAATAGCTTTTAACTGGAATTCTTCTCTTTCCTAAAGGAGTAAATCAAGCCAGCTGGAAATCACTGCTGCCAAAATCTGTCCTAGAAAGACACAGACACCAAGGGGAAATATCCAGCCAGACCACTGTTATGGCAGAGAGGGAGGCAGGTGTTGTAGAAGGAGACAGTGACGGCATTAAAAAATCCTTTGGAAGAAGCTCTCTCTAAACACAGAGTAGCCCCTGGGAGTGCACTGGCCTGGTAGAGCAGATAGCAGAGGACAGTGACAGCCTATTTGTTCAGATGGACCTACCGCGGCGATGAAAAGTGATAAGAATCTCACCTGTGGCACACTGGCATTCATAGCCATTTGGGTGATCGATACACTTTGCCCCATTCAGACACGGAGTACTGGAACAGTCATCAATATCAATCTGGCAAACTGGCCCAGTAAAACCTTAAAAAGGCATAGCAATGACACAAGTCAATAGATTATCCTGTGTCTTCCTTTACTACGAGAATGACATCTAAGGAGGGGCGGGTTAGGTTACTGGCAGGGATTATACCAACGTGCCAGCAAGTATAGTCCCCATAAGGTCACTTGATTAACTGGATGAAGCTCAGGGCACTTGTGGTATGTATCCACCACTATTTCTTGACAGCACAGATTTTACCTCCAAATAAAGCAAGTAGGAACAAATGTTACAGGCAAAAACCTCAAACAAGTAACTGTAGCTTTACAGGCAACAGAAATCGTCTCTCTGAAGAAACAATGGGAGAGGCCATAGTCTATGGCAGACAATTTGGCACATATTCAACCATAGCTTGGGGGAAAAAGAGGTAAGACAGAAGATCTTGGAAAAAATTGACATGTGTTGTCTATTTCTGAACTCGTGGAGCAAAATGTCTAAAAATAATAATCTCATAGAGTGTATTCAAGAATATGACCCATGGGAAAAAATAAAATCCTGAATAGCCTACAACTAAGGCTTCTGTGAAGTATGAGCATTCTGAAATATATACACAGACAGAGAGGTCATGGGCCATTCAAGAATAGACTTGGACTTCTGGCCACAAAGGATTTGGAAGATATACTAGCTAAAACAAATTCCCCATTTCTGTACACACACACTCCTATCACCAAGTACTCATTTTAATGATTTCCTCATGTACAGCCCACACACATTCTCTCCCTCCTCCCTTCCCTGTGGTCAGTTGGCTTTATGCTTTAAGAGAAAACAGAGGCAGGGGGTGGGACTTACCAGGTGGACACAGACACTGGAAGCGATTGACTTTATCCACACACTGCCCATTGTTCACACAAGGATTACTTTGACATTCATTTATCTCCAATTCACAATGCACACCTTTGAAACCTGATCAAAATGGACCACACAAGTGGCTTAGAAGGAAAAAAAGGCGTATTCCAGCCAAGAAAGCACAAATTTGCAAAAATGGCAACATCTTCTATGAGCATGAACACTTCTGCAAAGAGAAAAGGGACTCTGCCCTGATGGGAACTAGTCACTCTAAGCATTAGCAGGACAAGGGAATTCTGTGAAACATCATGTCACTGCAAAGAGGGGTGAGGGGTTACCTCCAAAGACACTGGGAAGACCTAGCATGTAAACAAAGACTGTTCCACAGTTTTTGTGACCAATCCACACTTTCTGGACCATGCCAGACCCAAAGTGTCCCCACTCTATGTTCCCAAAGACCAGTTGGAGCTGTGGTTGCTCAAAGGATACAGGTCAAGGTCAAGAGGGCTTTCCAGGCTAGAGCAGCTGGCATCCTCAATTAGGCAGAGCAGCCAATGTCAGCCATCATTTCCAACTGGATTTGGCTGCATGCTCTGAGGATTCAAAACATGGTCTCTGCAGAAAAGCTCCAGAACACAACTAAACATGTGCCCCACTTTGGATAAATGGCAAGTTCCTATGTAACTGTAGGTAAAATTTATTTCTATAAATGGAATGCTATGGTATTTATGATAGATCAGGAAAGCTTGCTATATAAAGGATTCTTGTAGTAAATGATTTCTGAAATTTTCTATTATACATACTTGGATTTTAACATAATAGGCTTGTTTAATTTGGTCTATATAGCTCTAAGAATTCTAGCACTGTCTTACTCTTCAAGTAAGGGGTTTACCTGGCAACCCTGACTTCCTACAGTCCCCAGTCAGCATGAGGCATTAAATGTTGACAGAGCTCATGGAACTGCTATAGTACACCGACTGCTCTACTTAGAGAAGTGCAGTGCAGTCTCTCCTCTCTAATGGGCCCATTTACCTGGCATGCACAAACAAGTGAAGCCTCCAATCTTATCCAGGCAGGTGGCATCATTCTGGCAGGGGTCTGAGTGGCACTCATTGATGTCCATCTCACAGCGAGGCCCTGCATAACCCTTCAGACACTCACAGTGGAAGGCACCATCCGTGTTCACACATTTTCCTGCATGCTCACAAGGATTGCTATTGGCTGGAGACACAAACACTGATTACTGGGATCAAAGCACTTTGAAAAAGTTTCCAAAAATGTGAACTATAAAAGAGAGTCTGATGGTTATAACATAAGCACTAGGGCTTTAATAATCTCACTCTTAATTTTCTATTTTCTTCCTTAATTTAAAAAAAGAAATAAGACAAGAGTAATCTCAACTCTTGTGCATTTTTGCTATTTCAGTTTCTGCCCAAACTGTCACTGAGGTAGGACTTTCTATTAAGAATCAAGTACATATCTTCCATATACTTCATTCCCAGAATAGAATACACAGTTACAGTGACACTGAAAGGGTTAGTTGTAAACATGGAACAAGAGAAATCTGAGGTTTGGTGTAACACACTTTTAGAGTAAAATATGCTTCAGCTTCAACACTTGCTGAGTTGGACACACACTCGAAAGAACAAGAAAGGTTCTGTGTACTCACCCATGGCACACTCATCCACATCTTCTGTGCAGTCAGCCCCTTTGTAGCCTTGTGGGCACGTGCAAATATACTGCCCATTCAGGGGGTTGGTATCACACAGTGCCCCCTTGTGGCAAGGATTGCTGATGCATGCATCATCCAGATGACACAGGAGACCTGTCAGAGTGGGACAGAGGAGACTAAGAGAAATGTCCCTTGCCTGGGGAAGTGCTGTCTCTTTCACTAAGGAGGGAAAACCTTGTGATCAGTTCCTCACAATCCAACATGGAGATTTAGAGGCAACTTCTCCTTTGCCCGATCCTACCTTGGGGACATGTTGCAGCCATCAGCAGAGCAACTAGCTACTCTGGACAATCGTAGAGCTCTGACAGCGAGCTCTCATCTAGACCTCCCCTCCAGGGCAGAAACATCTACAGCCCAGAAAATAAGAAGAGGGAGACATGAAAATGGAGATATGCTCCAGATTTTGTGTCAGACTTAGCAAATAAAAATAGAAGATGCCCAGCTGAATTTGAATTTCAGATAAACAAAAGGTAATTTTTTAGCTTAAGTATGTCTCAAATATTCTACACATCCTGTATTTTATCTGGCACCCTACTTCCCCAAAATTATGTTACCTGATGATCATGGGGCCCCCAACATCTCACTTGCCTTAGAAGAAAAAAGCAACTGAACGTCATCAGCCTCTACTAGAGCAGCCTTCTTAATAGCATCAACATTCCTGGCTCAGGTGCCCTCAGGTCTCTAAAGATATTACTAGGCTTCCTGTTTTGTGTAGTTCACATGGGAACTAGATTTTCCAGTCTGCAAATTAACTTAAAAACAGGTAACCACAAAGCTGGAGGTGGGGCTTTTGGAAAGGCACAAGTATAAGAATATTTCAAAACTGTTGGGTAGAAGTTTTCCCAGCTAAACTATCTTCTTCCATCACATTCCTCCTTACATTGCTCTTCTACTCCTAGAACTAGTAGCTGTTAAATTGAGAGGCTAGTGCAATGTTAAACTTTGTCTGTAAAAATCTTTCCTTACAGTAATATTTTCATAGACATTGAGGGTTCAAACACACTTCAATGCTTCTCTCCTGCCAACTCCTTCTGAGAAATAAATGCATTATTTCTTCTTAAAATGAAGTCTGTGAATCCATTTATTAGTCATTTTGTCTTAATGTCTGAGGTGCTTTTCAGTCTAAGATCATAAGGAGTTTAGCAGATACTTCAAAGACAGTAGTTACTAACTTGCCTTTTTTGGAATGAAAAACTGAAATACGTAGAGTTGAGAGCTGAAGTTTTAAGGAAAAAAGACTAACTTCATAGCACTCTGGCTAGTAGATTACATTTCCAGAAGAACAGTCCTGAGTGAAACGTTTCTACAGATGATAATTCAAAAAACACAGCTATTGAAATGAAGGAGAAGACAGAAGTCCTGAATGCTCCCTGACCCCTCCCTGTTTTCCAGCTCTGTCCTGCTGGCCTTACCTGCCTTCCCCTCTGGGCACATGCAAGAGAAGGAGGCCACGCGGTCAATGCAGGTGGATCCTGGAGTGCAGGAGGCGAAGGCACAGTCATCGATGTTCTCACTGCAGTCATCTCCGCTCCAGCCATTCACACACACACAGCCATAGCCTCCATTGCGGTTGGTACAGGTGCCCCCATTCTGACAGGCATTGGGTTGCAGCAGGCACTCATCCACGTCCTCTGTGCAGAACTGTCCTTTTGGGGGAAAAGTACCTTTGATTAGGGCTCTTGAGTCTCAAAACATTAGTACTGTACCAGTCCCTGTACACCTTTATGTGGCCTGCCTGAAATTAAGGCAGGTAGAGCTCATGGTGGGGCAGACACTCACATGAATTTTAAGGCCACTTTGAGCCTTCTAAATGATATTTTTTCAGGGTAACTCATTTCAAGAATAACTCTGTGCTCAGAAGTTGCCATCCCTAGAATCTCTGACAACCTATTAAAGAGAAGGTAAGACCTGTAGGACCCTTGACTCAGTTAAATCCCTGGGTCAATGAGTATATAAGCAAAAAGAACAAGACAAGTCTAGGAAATGAGTAAGAAGAAAATGAGAAGGAATCTACATGTCAAAATGTTAGGGAAACTGTCTCACATCTTGACTGTATAAAATGTCAATATCCTGGTTATACTGTAGAACAGTTCTGTAAGATGTCCTACAATACATATCTATAATACATCTACAATACAAAGCGTCCAAGGTATCTCTCCATATTAATTCTGGTAACTGTATGTGAAACCACAATTTTCGCAAAATAAAAAGAATAATTTTTTAAAATGTTAGGGCAAGCAAGGATAGAGAGAAGAGATTAAGGACAGTGAAAAGCCCTAGTAAAGTATGGATGTGAAAGGTAAGGCCAAGAATAATGAGATTGGAGTAAACTGTGCTCAGCCTGAGGCAGTCAAGCTTGAAGGATGTGGATTTGTGGAATAAGACACCGGAAGTCCACCCAATGTAATAAGAGATGAAAAAAGGACTAGTTTGCTGTACCTGAAAAAGAGCTCACTGAAGAATGCTAAACGTGAGACCACCTGTGGCTATGCTGCAGCAACCATGGGGACCATGGCAAAGGCTCTCGGGCCCTTAACAAAGAATAAGAGGATGTCATCAACTTACAACCAAGAAATTTTTGACTAACAAAAGCAGTTTAGCGCCAGGCCACATGCTACAAAATAAATTAATGAATTGGTCCTGCGTAAGGTCTTCTAAAACCAGCTTAAAGAGCTATCAAGAGGAACTAAAATTTAGATCATCTGAATTCTTTAAAACATGAAAAGTTGCTGACACTCAAAAAAGATCAAGGTGTCCTTCATTCTTCCTTTGTAAATGAAACTCAACAAATAATTTAAAAAGGCATTCTGATGAAGAGGCCTATTAATGAAAAAATACATAATGTTTATACTTTGATACTTTGAAAATTCCAAGGCTAGCCCTAGTCCCCAGAATACCTAACACCTCAACTGGCTCATATATTCATTGAAGGCCTATACTGCTGGCAGATGCTTGTTGTGTCTGACCTAACCTAACTGACCACCTTTTCTTTACTCCTATCCAACATGCACCTCCATTACTACAGAACCGACATCACTCTATTCCAATTATTTGGTTGCACATCCATCTCCCACGACTTGGCTCCAAGCAGCCTCGGTTTCGAGATTTCTTTTTCCCAGTGAAGAGCCCACTGCCTAGGATGGCAGGATAGGTATGTGGAAGTCTCTGGAACTCTGTGCTCAGCATCCCCCTTCCGTGCTCCTCTCCTCACTCTATGCACACAATTCCTGAAGGAACCACCATGTCTTTACACGATTGCACCCTCCTGGCCATAACTGACTGATCTAGGATCAGCATCTGATCCAAGCTACATCGCTGTGTCTCTTTTCCAAATTATTGGACTAGAGATACTTTGCCACGTGGCCCAAAAGGATGAGGAGGCTGGTCTGCAGAGAAAGTGGTAAGAATGAATCAGCAGTGCACAGAGAGAAAAATAAAATCATGGTGGCATTCAAGTTCTTGGTTAAAGTTGTTCATGAAACCCAACACCTCCTGAGTTCACTCAGTGGCACAGCCATTCTGAGAGATTGTCTCTTGCAAAGGGTTGTCCTAATTTGAGATGAAGAATTGCAGCCAAAAGTATTAACCAATACAAACTGAGTGAGTGAGGAAGGGAGGGAGCGAACAAGGGAGTGAGTGAGTGAAACAGTGAGGAAGGCAGTGAATGAGTGAATGAGTAAGGCAGTGAGTGAGGGAAGGAGTGAGGGGGTGAGTGAAAGGGGGAGTGAATGAGTGAATGATTAAGGTAGGGAGGGAGGGAGAACTCATCGGCAATCCTCTCTCCCAGGGCGGATAATGTCATTTACTATACAAACTTTCGCTCCCTTACAGTGCTAGCAGAAATGCTACCTCAAAGCAATGACAGCTGTGTTATCAGGATGCAGGCAGGATTGAGAAATGAAAACATGAACGAGAAGTAGAAGAAGAGTCGCTGTAACTTGGAAAATTGCTGAGTCTTGCCTATTGTATCTGTGCTGCTCCCCAACCAATTTACAGGTCATTTTTCTTTATTGAGGCTCTGTGATAATTCTGAGTACTATAAGACACTGTGTGTTTAAAAATATTTTGTATGCATTTCTTTTTTTTTAAGAGATGAGATCCTGCTCTGTTCCCAAGGCTGGAGAGTACACTGGCATGATCACCGCTCATTGTCTCCTGGGCTCAAGCAACCCTCCTGCCTCAGCTGAGGATTCCTGAGTACCTGAGCTATCGGCACGTACCACAAAGCCCACCTAATTTTTATTTTTTGGTAGAGATGGGATCTCCCTGTGTTGCCCAGGCTGGCCTTGAACTCCTGTCCTCAAGCGATTCCTGTATCAGTCTCCTAAAGTGCTGGGATTACTGGCATGAGCCACCATGTCCAGCCCTACATTTCTTATGCATTATAATAGACACTGAGATAATGTAGTAAGACAGACTAGATAAATAAAACAATGCCTGCAATGGAAATCTGGCACTCTAAGGAAAGGGAACCAGTAGACACTGATTGATTACTATGAAGCAGACATTGTGCTTGGGACTGTCACAAAACTCATTTATAGCTGAGGGAACAGTCTCAGAGAGGTAAAATAACTTATCCATATGAGGCAGTGAGTGCAGGAGAGCTGGGATTTGAACTGGGCTGCCTGACTCAAAAATTCTTAACAAAGACTTGAGGTATGAACCTGACCATATCAAACGGTCTCTGCGTGCCTCAGTTTTCCTAAGGGCACATAGACATGGGGAAGTAGAGAGCATGGAGGAGGGGAGGACTAAGACAATGACTCAAACAACAGGTTACTCGAAAATCTTGTGACTGCAAATTCCTGTGAAAAATGAAAATGCACTTTTGGGTACAGCTGATTATTTTTTCAATGAGACTGAATTTTGAGGATTAGATGTCTTCTCTGAACACCTTAGCACTGTGTATCTGTTGGATAGTGTTTGTTAGAGATGGGAAATCCAGAGACCCAAGAGCATACTGGCTTGTAAGTACCTTTCCGCAGGATGTATCACCGTCCCTAAGGTTCAGGCACATTTCTCTAGAACATTCTATCTCAGTCTTATTTTGGCCAGATGTTTCTTCCCCCTTATTACAATTCTATCAACCAGTTCTAAAATTCAGAATAAGGAAAATGGTAACCAGGTTGGCCATTATTACAATTGCCTGTCCCAAAATTCCCAATGGGACATCTGCCGAGACACTGTACTTCCTTCATGTCACCACCCTCCTGGCACAGGAGAAAACCAATGCAGAGGCCCAAAAATAAGAAACTCAAGACTCAGAAAAGTAAATAAGCTTCCCAAGTTCACAAAGGTCATGAGTGAGAGCGCTGTCATTCCAACACAGTCAATCTGACGGTAAATCTGACACTCTTTGGCTGCTGCACAGTTGAGTATCCAGCCCTGGATTTGATCAATAGCATCTACAGACTGCGTTCCTGATCCCAGGGTCTTACAGCACCCTGAGAAGCCATAAATGCATAGGATGGTGGAGGGACACCAATAGCAGAGAGGAATAAAGGCAGAAGATCACTAGATATTAGGATAGGAAAAGTTCTTGGCAATCACCTATAGGTGTTAGGTATATGGTCCAAGGTCATTGGCTTTTCCCCACTACTCCATGGCAAGAAAGACCAGCCTGGGCTGGAGGGAGAAGGCTTGCTGAGGGCGGCAGGGTCTTGAAGATAACAAAATGACTGGAGTGGATTCTTTGGCTGGGGTATTACAAGAAGGAAAGATTGGAGGTCATTTGAGGCTTTGAATTTGAATATGAATTCTAAATTTGATACAACAAATGAGGGTGGGGATGACATGATCAACACTCTGTCTGAAGATGAACTGTACAACAGAACATAGGAGGGACTAAAAGCAAACACCTTTCTTTTAGTAGGGAGAGGGGGAGAGAGCATTAAATTATGAGCTACCTAGCATATAAAAGCCTATGTTGAAAAGCGAGAGCTGAGTTGTTTCCATGCCCAACCAAGCTACTGAATCTTCAATTCAAACAAGTCTCAGCATGTATCATCACCTCTGTAAACACACAAACTTAGCTGGTGAACTCACAAAATGTTGCACAAAGCTCAGTTAGGCAAGTTTTCCAGGGCAATAATTATCCTCTTAGTAATTTCCACCTGCCAGATATTACAGGGTACTACCGTTTACCATAAGTAGTAAGGCCTAGTTAAGTCCTTTCAATTTTCTATGGACAAAAGAGAAAGGAAACAACTTGTTTTAAAAACTACCCTCTTGGCCGGGCATGGTGGCTCACACCTGTAATCCTAGCACTCTGGGAGGCTGAGGCGGGCGGACTGTTTGAGCTGAGGAGTTTGAAACCAGCCTGAGCAAGAGCGAGACCCCGTTTCTACTAAAAACAGAAAGAAATTAATCGGACAACTAAAAATATATAGAAAAAAATTAACGAGGCATGGTGGTGCATGCCTGTAGTCCCAGCTACTCGGAAGGCTGAGACAGTAGGATCGCTTGAGCCCAGGAGTTTGAGGTTGCTGTGAGCTAGGCTGACGCCACTGCACTCACTCTAGCCTGGGCAAAAAGAGTGAGACTCTGTCTCAAAAAAACAAAAAAAAAACAAACAAAAAAAACTACCCTCTTGAATGCCACCATGAGTCTGGACCAATCTGAAATGGAATGTGAAACTACAAAATGC